TTTGCTATGGGGCAGGACATATTGAAGCAGTTGACCAATCACAACAAAGTCGGCCAGCTAACCAATCAGAGCAGACTGGGCTCTGGTTTCAGACAGAGGGGGAAAAGAGGTGCTGCAGCACAGGCAGTATGAGAAAAGAGCTTTTTCAACATGACAGCATGGAGACATGTCACAGGGGCAGCCTTCGCAGACCATTCACATGCACACAAACCTATAGAACACCTCATGAAAGGGAAAACCCCCAAAAGCATAATAAGGCCTCTTTAAGATTATGATGGTGTGGTTGTTGAAGGTGGAGGGGAGGGGGAGCCTTTGACCTTACACATTGAAATGTTCCATGGAGGTCTTAATCTAGCCTTAACTACAGGTTGTGAAGCTTTGTAATTGAATTCCTGTTACACTCAATTAAAAGCCCTTACATGTTGTGCTGTGCTGTTGTTAATCATGGAATCACATTTCACATGTCAGATGTATAATGTAGAAACCAGAGTGACACATTCATTTACAGGATCTTCCAATGGCTGCAGCAATCTGTAAATGCATGCTCAAGCAACGTGTCTAAAACACTTAAGCTAGATGTGATAAAGACGGTCTAAATATTGCCTTAGTGCAAAGTCAGAAGTGTGTCTCCCAATAGGTTTCTGAAAGCACAGACATTTGTTCAAACTGTGAAGTTTGTGCCGCTTCATGTGATAGCTTTGACACCAAAAGAGCTAAGGAAAGGGAAACAAAGAGATGGAAGGCAGCTACAGCATCTGCCAGTTGAAATAACTATTTGACAATAACTCTTAGATACAGTATGTTGTTTAAAATGTACTTAATATACTAGATGTTAAATACATCTTAATGATCAACAACAATATCCAGCAAGAAAGAACAATAAAGACAATTACATAAAAAAGATCAAGTCAGTGTAGTGTGGAATCATGGCAAACAAAGCCATGATTTTGCTTTTCTTAATCTGTGTTCTACATTTAAATGTTCTTACAGTCAAAGAGAAAAAGCTAATACATCTATTTGTTATATTCAAAAGAATCAGCCTTTAACATATAACTTGCATGCTATAAATGGTCTTCCTACCACCATACAGAGCGTTGTCATATAGATAATAAGAGATTGTGTGTTCACGTCAGGCTGTAGTGTTTCATTTATGTTTTGTTTGGACACATTTTGCTATCTTAGGGTATTGATCAACAATGTAGGTGTACACTAAGCGTAACACGTCAGTTAAAACATTTGTATTTTGTTTTCAGCCATAAACTTGATTTTGCCCTTCGAAGTCATTCCCTGTCATTTCTATATGTCAAAAGGTTGGTCCATGATATGAGCTGAGGAGTCAGCACCAAGCAGACAAACATAGTCATTCCTGTGCAGCCCCTTTTTTGTCTGCGTCCATCCGCCCTCCATCATTCTGTCACAGCTACCAAGACGGCAGCCAGTCAGTCTCAGTGGCCTTTCTCACATTGAGCCAGAGCCTACCAGCAACCCCCGGCACACTCTGTGCCCATGAGCCAGGCCAGCGGGAGATCCGGAACGGCTCGAAGGGCCAAGGCACAAAGGGCCAGCTGCTTGCAGAGCATTGGCTTTACATGGAAGGAAGCAAGGCTTACTGAATATAAGGATACATGGATCCCTCTTTGTGTAGTGCGCTTGTTCCAAATGACAGGAACACATTGAAAATACACTATTTAGGAAGGCACTTAGAGGATAGGGCTGCACAATATTGGAAAACACTGACATTGCGATATTTTCTTCCCCTGCGATATATATTGCGATATGAAAAAAATACAGGAATTGAAGAAAAGACTGTTTTTTTTGTCCGCAAACCACCCTTTCTTGAACTTTGATGCTATACAATTGGTATTTTTTTAACAATATTGAACCGGATGAAGGATTTTCTGGATCTGAAGTTATCAGAGCAACTAGCTGAGCTAGCTCGGTTATCCTGCTGTGATCTGATCAAGAATGGTTGTGATTGGTGGTTTGCTGTGCATGCAGAGCCTGCATGTCACTCACTCAAGCACCCCTGACATGACACGCGCACGTTTTCCTTTTGTAGCAAGCAGCAAAATAATAATAATAATAATAATAATAAAGAAAAAAAAATTGCACATCTTGCGAAGTCATGCGCATAACGCGATTATCGTCACAACATCGTGCAGCCCTAGTTTTCATGCATAATGACTGAGGATGAATAACTATGATCAACCAGTGAGTTGAGTGCTATTAGGGCAGCACAATGAATCAAACATGTCTATGGATTAGTGTAAAAACACATCGGAGCAAAATCTATCAAATATTCTGAGTAGTGTGATGCTGCTGGGGAAGTCCCGACCTACACATTTGACTTTGCAGACCTGATAAAAAATCATTGATTGGTACGGATCCTCTCAAAAGGATCACAAATGGATGGTTTTAATATACTTCCTAATCATAATGTGAATATTGTTCAAAATGGTCAAACCCTCAATTATCGCAAACCATACCGCAATTTCAATGTCATTACCAGTTGTTTTTTCCAAACCCTGTATGCCATCCTTACTTTCACGCTAGCATTTGTCCTTGCTGACATCATTAGAAAAGTGATGCCTGTCCGCTCACATTTCCCATACTGCCACTTCGACACCTTCACTCTTGTGTTGTGCTCAAATCAATTCCCAAAGCTTCACAACACCTTCGCCCCCAAACTGACATGTGGCATGATGTGACGTGGAGGTGTAAAAGCGCTGTGACACGGTGAGCCACACTCACTGTCTGCACCCCCCAACACAGCTCAACTTCAGGCTTAAAGCAGGGGCTTATGAAGGCAGGGGAGTGCACGAGCAGGAGTGTTCAAACACATCAGCGAGGCTCATAAATATGTCATTGTACATGCGGTTTTATGCATTGCATTCTTATGAGCGCTTGCACTGGAAGAGTTGACGTGCAGTAAGTGCATTAAATATGGCTGCGCAGCTCACATGGGGAAGAAAGAACCAAGCCCCTTTTTACCTGTATTGTTCTTTGCTTCTCTCATTGACATGGACTTTGTCATTTTATCTGATTTGAAAGATATTTTTCAATTTCTGAAAATGGATAAGGTTTGTGACATTAAATGTCCTTTAAGAACGTATTTCTTTGTGTAAGAGGGGAAGACCTTTAGTCAAAAACTGTGAAATCATTGTTCCTACGTCATCCGTTCATTCATGAAAATAACTTATTCAAGAAAAAAAGCTGAGTGCTTGACGTAAGACACTAAAATCTATCTGCCAAGTAACTTTAATTGGTGATGCATATTTAAAAACTCAATTTAGTTTGTGTTCAGTATAACTTTGCATGCAGCCTGGAGACTAATAAGAATGAAAGACCTTCTTTCAACATGCTTTTCTTATCTGGTACACGGAAATTAGTGGAGGATGAGCATTTCTGTCTTCAGCATTTGGCCTGGAGCATCTTAGGGATAGGGCAGACACACATCTGCTCGTTTTTTCATAAAGAAAAGATATGCAATTTTACACATCCTCCTCACTGACAAATACATCTCTGCACAGCACTTTGGTCTGGAGGTTTTAAAGTGCTATATAAATAAAGTTGGATTGGATATTTATAATCTAAAACAACATATTATGCTAAATCAAAGTGATGTTCGAAGTACAATTTTATGGAGGATTTCTGTTTTTTCACAATAAAAGCATTTCAGTTGAAAGCTATCCACCTGAAGACAGCCCTATTGGGAAGACCCTCATTCCCAAGATGCTTGTCACATTAGAAAAGGAAAAGTCAAATGATATGATAGAATAGGTCAGTTTTGAGTTTTTTAAGTTGTTTAAGTAACGCAAAAAAAAAGTAATACTATTGCATGATAACATACACATGTAGATTCATTCAGTATAGCAGAATACCTAAGTGGCTTGATTGCAATGAGGTTGTGTCTTTTAAATTGAGTATTCACAAGCTTGCAACTACCTTTTGGCATTGAGGGGCTACTTAAGAATTAAAGGATTAAAAACATCAGATTTGTTGTCCAACTTTGCTAAAAGAAAATCCAGAAGAAACAAATCACCGCAGCGCGGGCAGCATTTCCTCTGTTGTTGACATTCTTGTAAGGTCCAATTTTCAGATATGATGTAGTGGCTGTAAAAAGTCCATGCTGGCACTATTGATGTCTAAAGCACTTTAGCAGTATCTATGTCTTCCTCACACATACACACACACACACACACACACACACACACACACACACACACACACACACACACACACACACACACACACACACACACACACACACACACACCCACACACACACACACTCCACTTCCTGGTAAAGTACAGGATGTGCGGATGGAGAACTAAGCAGGTTTTTTTCGTCTCCTATTGCTGTTGCCAGGAATGCTTTATGGGGCATGTTAATATCGGAGTTCTCTTGCTGGCGAGATTGCTTGATTCAATCAAGCAAGTCGCTGCCTCTTAAAGTCATTACACTTTGTGCAATGTCATGCGTTCTGCAGCCGCTGGACAGTCCTGTGTTTTGTCCTGACATTAGGGAAGTGGCTTAAGGAAAGCACGTGTGCCTGGCGCGTCAGCACCTATAAATAGCCATCAGCAACTAACATAAACACTTTTTCCAGAAATCAATTAGAGATGCGTTTTCCGTAACCAAAACGCAGCAGGTTGTCTTCGTCTCTTGTGCTCCGGGGTGGACACGGAAATAACAAAAACACTAGCTTTGCCTTTGAATTTGCACATGGTTAAACCCCGAGGGTATGAGATGGCAAAAGATTGTGGGGTAGAGCGAGAGGAAGGAGGGGGAAGTTGATATCAGAGCAGAATATCAGGAGAAAATGATGGTGACCTCGCTGATATCATCTCCTACAACTATGCCACTTTCTCATAGCTGCGGGGAAAACTTGAAACGTACAGGAACAGCGGAGAGGATAGAGAGTGTACAGAAAACAACAACAAGAGCAGAAGAAGAAGAAGCGGGAAGTACTTTGTAAAGGAAATAAGCAGAGTCTTACCTGCTTAGAGGTTTTTTTGTTGGTGGGACGGAGAAGTGAGGAGAGTCAAAGGGTCCCGGGGCGGTCTGGGTGGTAGGGGGGGGGGGGGTCCCGGTCCGGCTGGAAGCAGGGCTGTAGGGTGGTCCAGGAGAGGGGAGGAAGGATGGAGTGACAGGGAGCAGGGAGACGGGGAGCAGGGAGACGGGGAGAAGAAACGCGGCTTGCCTCTCTCTCCCTTACTCTCTCTCTCTTTATCTCTTTTCTCCCTCCAACACACACACACACACACGCGCTCGGAGGCAGACACCAAAACCCCGAGTCACTCAGATAATAGGCAGAGAAAGAGTCTTTACATTTACACGCTCTGCCACAGGGGGAGGATGGAGCACTCCTCCCACTCTCCTCGGGGCAGCCAATGGGAGGAGGCTCAGAGGTGTCCAGGCAGCCAATCAGAGGCGGAACAGCCGGTGTCTTGCCCCAGCCAATAAGTGCAATAGCTCATATCCAGTTGGAATAATTACAATATGGAAGGAGTCGTGAAAATCTTCCCCCTTTTTTCTGAAGCGTTGCAGTGCAGCCCAGTGAGGGAGATTTAGAGCTGCAACACACATTAGAGTGATTCGATTCTGGAACACTTAAGCCGGGCACAATATCCCAGCATGCTCCTCTGCAGACCTTTGCCGCCACGCAGAACACAAGAGGCTTCAGTCTGTTGGAGTTTAAGAAGTCAGAATGAGCCACACATGCAAAAAGGCAGGACGTCATGATGACAAACGTGGGCATGCTTTCAGATTCACAGACTCTCTCTCTCTCACTCACTCACACACACACACACACACACACACACACACACACTCCCACATAATCAATTCCCTTCTGCCACGTACATTTACACTCTGCCTTCTCATACAGGCACTCATCAACAACACTGAGTGGAGAACAAAGTGTTGAATTTCATCAGGCGCTGTTGCTTGTGTGTTCACTAAGGAGCGTACTTCACTTCCACAAGTCTTATTTTATTCCCTCCCCCCAACCCCCACCCACCCACTCCATTCAATCAATAGCTGTGGCAAGCACCCAGCTTGATAAATGATCAATGGTGAACTGTCAGTTTGAGGAATGAAAGGCACATCCCCATCGCACTGCTCCTTCTGCACAGGGAAGTGAAGGAAACACCAGTTATATCGGAACGTCAAGCACTGTGCAAACAAAGCAGCCGTTCTTTTCCATTCTCTTTTTTTTGTTGTCAGCAAACACAGCTAGGCGACTTGCTGAAAGGTAGATTTTGTGATTCTCAAGGGCCGCCAGCTGTAAGAGGGGGATGCAGGGTTTGTGAAACTCAGGGTTTTATTCCTATGACTTTCACAAGCTTTATCAACCACTTGGCTCGACTGCGAAAAGTAAGAAGTCCCAAGGAAAATGATCCATCTCTCTCTTGTGCAATGCCTGTCCCAGCATGCCTTGGTAAAGAAGCTGGTCTATGCCCCGGAAAGGAAGCAAATCTGTCACAGAGCCAACACACATCTCAACTCTTTGGGCACTTAGCGTTTCAATTCACCTAACCTGGATGTGTTGCAGACACCCAGCAGTCAGACTGGGGTTTCCAGGAAACAATTATAAACAGGGAAGTCATTGTTTTCTGCCAAGTCCTCTTCCTCTGCTCAAGATCCCTCAGCACTTTTATCTGAACAGGCCTTTATATATACAGTCTATGGAACAGGCTTACAATGTCTGTAGCCCTTTTTCCATATTCAAACAGTGAATGTGTGTACGTATGGAAAATTGCTCTCGCTGTATTATGTTATCTTCTCATTCTACTGCCTTGTCTAGACTTCATGGTACAGGTTACCTTGTACTTTTTTCGGTTCCTAGTGAGCTACTGAGTCGAAACTAGAAGATGGAGTTAAAACACTCCATACAACCAATTGGTCAAAGATAATTGTTAGAAGCACTAAATTGGGGCATTCTGCACCAACCTAAAGCTAACGCACCTTGGCGTCCACTACGGCGTTCAACTGACGAAGTGCGGATTTTCCTCCGTTTGAAAGAAGAAGAATTGGGAGGGATGAACCCCTCTGTAATGGTCACACATGCAGAGCACACAGCACACACAGTGAAATGTGGCCTCTGCTTTTAACCCATCCTAGTACTAGGAGCAGTGGGCAGCTATTGCACAGCGCCCAGGGAGCAATGGGAGTGGGGGGGGGTGTCCGGTGCCTTGCTCAAGGGCACCATGGCAGGGCCCAGGAGGTGAACTGGGACCTCTCCAAGTAGCAGTCCACACTCCATACTGTAAGTCTGTTCGGGGACTTGAACCGGCGACCCTAAAGCTCACAGTCCAAGCCCCTAATGACTGAGCCATTGCCGGAAATTGATGTTCTGAGTGTCAAGTTGAAAATGACAATAGTGCAATTTCACACGGCGTAGCTATAGCAATTAGCTAATCATTCTGCCCACTCTGCAGGGTTATCGTTATTTTATAACTAAGCTACCGTCAACAGTGTCCAAAACGTATTCAACTGACCTTCCTCTTTTTGGCTGCCAATCAAGTGGCGTCCATATTGAAAGTCAGCCAATAGTTGTGGTTCCATGTGCATTGAAACGCACTCCCTGAACGTCCAGGAGCGACGCTTGGTCAGGGTCCCGTGGCGTGCAGTTGTGACGCGCCGAGTCTCATTCAGCTTCATAAACGGATGCAAAGAGCTTTCAACTGATTGCAATGTATTCCCATCGTCAGCGGTATTTGACGCTCATGGAAGCACCGTATCGGTCCATGTCGATGGCAGTTAAAGACAATGTGAGCGTCCATTCCCATTGGATAACGGAGGATTTTACACCCGGAAGTAAGTATTCTCCTTACTGTCGATTGATTGTACAGTGATATCTGCACTACTCATCAACTAAAAAACACCAGATTATCCTTGTTAATTACACAACATTGATTGGTTTAAATTGTGTGCAATGCTTTTATATTTTTCCCCTTCGATTCGGAGAAAGAAATATTTGTTCGGAGTTTAGGATGGCAGAAGACAATACACTACCCAGAATCCTCAGCTATCGTTTGGGACTACACCATGTGCTTTGCTTCACAAACCCCGTGATTAGTCCTCAAGCTCTGTGATTGGTTGACCTCCAACTGCATTCTATATGGAAAAAAACGTTTCGTAAAAGATAAAATCATTCTTTATTCAGCAGTGCTTGCTTTACTCTTTGAAAGTCATCACATGAATGCATTGTAATAAATGGTTCGGCTACATTAAATATTACACATCTGTCGTTGTACTTTATTTATCTACAGAGATCGGGCCTCAGAATAGAAACTATTATTTTACTGTTTTAATTTCACAATAAAGTTAGTAGTAATATTTAGTTTTGATATTATTGTTTTTTATTAACTACTAGACCTCTGGGTCATGTTAAGACAATCTTGTCTGTGTTGCTGTGGGTTTTTTCCATCGCTTTTGTGTTACAAATATCAAAACAATAACTAAATATATCCGTCTTAAACTAAACCAGAAACAGCAGTATATTTTATTTTGTTAACACTGTAAACTTGACAGCTTTTTAACCCAAACCCCCTACTGGTTAAAGCACGTTATTACACGTTTAGAGTAATGCAATGCAGGTAGATTGTGTTGCTGACTGTTTAAAATGCCTTTTTCTTAATGTCTTTCATTTTTGTAAAGCACTTTTGAATGTGTTATATTTTATGAAAACATTTAAATATTAAGAGTACATACAAAATAGGAGGAAAGTAGAAGGTCAACTTTTATTCTCCATATATATCAACAGTTTAGGTGAAAATGTGGATGAAGCTACTTTACATTTTTATGCGGACGATACCGTGATGTACTGTGCAGGTCCCTCCATTAAGGAAGCTGTTGTTAAATTACAGACTGTTTTTAACATTATTCAGACTCAGCTCTCTGAGCTTAAGCTTCTTTTAAATGGTGATAAAACCAAGGTAATGCTCTTTTCAAAAGCTAAAAAGACACCAGAGCCATGTTGTTTTATGTTTCATGTGGAACCTAATTGCTGCAGGTCTCCCTTGAAAAATAGATCTATGATCTCAAGGGACCAATCTGGTTAAATAAAGGTTTGAAATGAAATGATAGAAATATAGAATAGAACATATCAAGAAGATACTGTAAATGATATCTATAATAAAACAGTTTAGTGCCGGATGTACAAAGATATTAATAGGAGGATGTGCAAAACAGACAAACTAATTAGGTTTTATTTAAACATTAAATAATACTTTAGGTTAAGGTCTTCTTTTAAATACACGTTCGATTCCTGTTTTGGTTAGTGTGCCATCGATGGGATTCATTCCATTTCAAAGTGCTGTTTGACGCTCCGTGTAAACTTCTCGCACTGCCACTCCAACATCCAATCACAGAGCTTGAGGACTGATCATGGGGTTTGTGAAGCAAAGCACATGGTGTAGTCCCAAACGATAGCTGAGGATTCTGGGTAGTGTAGTGTCTTCTGCCATCCTAAACTCCGAAAAAATATTTGTTTCTCCGAATCGAAGGGGAAAAATACAAAAGCATTGTACACAATTTAAACCAATCAATGTTGTGTAATTAACAAGGATAATCTGGTGTTTTTTAGTTGATGAGTAGTGCAGATATCACTGTAAAATCAATCGACAGTAAGGAGAATACTTACTTCCGGGTGTAAAATCCTCCATTAGCCAATGGGAATGGACGCTCACATTGTCTTTAACTGCCATCGACATGGACCGATACGGTGCTTCCCTGAGCCGCCGCCGATGGGAATACATTGCAATCAGTTGAAAGCTCTTTGCGTCCGTTTATGAAGCTGAAGGAGACTCGCCGCGTCACAACTGCACGCCACGGGACCCTGACCAAGCGTCGCTCCTAGAAGATCAGGGAGTGAGACTGTGTTGCAACACCTATTACCAATAGTTAGTTAAGCTGACCTATGCAGTGGTAGTCAGGTATGTGTATTTCACTTTGTGCTGCTGCAGCCTTTACATTGACCTGACAGCGTTACGTTCAGAAATCTTTGGAGAATTTGAGGTATTTTATAAAAACCCATTACGATTTTCACAGGACATTCCTTCCAAATGGTTTATATGCTTTTTCAGTAGAGTTTAGAATAAATACTAGTAAGGTGTAGAGAACAAATGTGTTATTTATTCAAGGTAAAACAGTAGATCGCATTACTAGATCGCATTAATCGCCTTTGACTTATCTTTTGCTCCGACCCTCAAGATCAATGATGCTGTCAATACCTGAGTGCATAGTAACATGGTCAGATATATGCACAGCCAAAGTGTGGCATCAAACTTTCAGTTTAGCTGAGAGTAAAATCCTGAAGTTTGTCTCTCTGTGAAATCCATAGA